TATATATACGAATGTACATATCTACCACAGATATCAATAGCTACTGGAGAGCTAGCGAGCGAGCGCGTACAACAAGTCGAGTAAAAGAGAGCATATTACAAATTTACGTTAAATCCATGTGCATGCTTGTAAGATCGGATATGGAGTGACATGATTCTGGAACTCGAGACAAGCAAATCCCTTCAATACCCTACCTAGGGCACCTAGCAGCCGTATACGGTTGCGGTTCCTATACAATGTTTATTTATATATAGGCTTATCTGTTTATATAATTTGGACAACTGAAACTCTTCAAATGTGAAAAAAATAATACAAATTCTGCAATTATTTCTAAAATTGTCTAATTATTTCCTAAGCAATTATTAATTATTAATTATTAAATAACTATTTCTAAAATTTCTGCGATAATAACAATTATACTTGTGATTCAGAAAAAGTCTGTCAAGACACCATATCATGTCAGTCTGGTGGTGTGCCCACTGCGCTCATTAATGTTCAATCAAGTGGATATATTATTGAGAATGGGTGTATCGGCAGCAGCCATATACTACCTCCGAGTGAGCTCCACCCTGACACGAAAAGAGGTGAGCAAAGGTGTTGCAACAGTAGAAATGGCAATACATGGCATTTATTCTATGATGATGTTTGCAGTGGGCTTTTTACGGATATCTTAAATGCAACAGTGTCTCAGTGTATATAGCCTACATTTTTCTTGTAGGCAAAATGAATGTATGATAAAACGTTACTGTTATTGAAAGTACGACATTTCAATGAAGTTATGCTCTTTTCCAAATGACAAATAATAAAAGTTTTTCATTGTTTTGTAGGCCTTTTAGCAGGAGAAGTTACTGTCGTTTTCTGTAGCCCAGAGGCTATGAGTATCGATATTTGGCGAGAGATGGTTATGCACCTTGGTGAAAGATTGTGTCTGTTCACGTGTGACGAGGCTCACTGCATTTCTGAATGGTATATTGCACATTACCAGTTTTAACCAACATAATGAAACTATTTATTCATATACTTGAGTTTTTAACCGACCTATTTTGGTTTTAATTTTAGTTCAGTTCTAAAGGCATTGCTAATCTCATTCACTTTGTTATACCATGACAAGTCGTTCTTATTCACTCCAGGGGTCTTGATTTCCGACCTGAGTACAGGGAAATCAGCAAAGTGTATTCAATCCTACCGAAGTCGACGAGATGGCTGTTTCTGACAGCAACATGCACGGATCAGTTACATCAATCAATTTTGGACATTTTGAACATTCAGCCGGATGAGGTCCAAACCATCGCAGCTGTTCCAGACAGGTTAATACCTTACAATGTTTCTGTGTCTACATACTTTCTTGAATAGTTCATTTTAAAGTAAAACGTTTTCAAAAGCATCTAGTCTTTCTTAATTTCAAATACAAAATATATATGTTATTGTTATTTAACACAATGTAAGTAACAATTAAATATTGGTTTTTCTTAGTGATTTGCTTTACTAACTTTATCTTACAAAAAAAACATTTACATTCAGTGGAAGACTGGAGGTAGAATTAATTCTTTCGAAATGTTGTTATTCGAATTACAACACGTCATTAATTCTTTCGACACGTCGCAATTCGAATTACAACGTGTCGAAAGAATTAACGACGTGTTGTAATTCGAATTGCGACGTGTCGAAAGAATTAACGACGTGTTGTAATTCGAATTGCGACGTGTCGAAAGAATTAACGACGTGTTGTAATTCGAATTGCGACGTGTCGAAAGAATTAAGGACGTGTTGTAATTCGAATTGCGACGTGTCGAAAGAATTAACGACGTGTTGTAATTCGAATTGCGACGTGTCGAAAGAATTAACGACGTGTTGTAATTCGAATTGCGACGTGTCGAACGAATTAACGACGTGTTGTAATTCGAATTGCCAC